ATTTTCTTACATGCACTTGATAACGAAAAGGATACAAGATAACTGTAATAAATATTTCCCATTTATATGAATAGTGCTATGTTTGGTTTAACTCCATTTAAATTTGTGTCAAACGATTTGAGTATTTATTTACAACACTACTAAAGATTATAATATCGAAACAAACATAAAGATATACATATTTCACCAATCCATTTAATGAGCCAGCTAAAAAAATCAATTCGTTTAAGTGTTTTTTATTTAATAAATAAGTTATGGCTTATGGGGCCTGCAAGGAAAGTCCTCCTTTATGGCCGGCAATGCATTTGCGGTTCCCTTGGCCTTGCAGAAGTCCATGACCGTCTCAAAGTATTAGGCGATCCGCTGCTCGTTTGCTCCCTTCTACTATAAAAAGTAATCGTTACTGAATTATGCAATACATACTGTGTTTAATAATTTTATCATTAATGACTATATTACGTCTGCAGGATTCAGTTATTGTTACAAGGCAACATCAGAGGCAGTTTAGGAACGTGCGCTCACTATTGACTAAACTATCTAAACTATCGCACAACTGATGTGCGATTGTCTATTGTTTCTCAGCCAATTCAACTGTTTAGTTGCACAACTAACAATCGAGAAGTGTACGCACCTTCATATAAGCTCATAGGAAACAAAGCGCGAATAAACAGTTGTTTCATAGGTTAGTCGAAGTTGTGAGAACGCTCTAAGATAACACAATGACACATTTTATATGATGTCTTAACGACACCAATGTTAGCTTAATTGTTTGTTTTTATTATGTTTTTTGTAATATTTTGTATGCCACCATATAAGTAGTAGATAAGTACTATAGATTTAAATTTACATTCAAGCATCAAGAAATATTAACTTTAAATATGCTAAGAATGTATTCAAATAATAAAATGTGGTATTTTGGAGACCACATTTCTCGATTGCGTGAATACTTGCAAGCTGCAGTATTAAAATAAGTTAATTATTAAGATCTGTATTCCTAAGAATTCATGAGTACTTATTATTTAAATTTCACACAAAACAGCTTTATCAAGTAATAGCGGGAAATATTGTTACAGTCCGAATAATGGTTTACATAACAATTGAAATTCGGTAAACTTGTTCCCGCGCGAACTAAACGTAATGCGATTTTCCAATGCTGGCACTCGGGGAGGGGGTCATTTAAGGGTTGATACAAATGAAGCAAGCGAATAATTAAACTGAAACATAATCCTGAATATATACAAAGATCTTTATGTACAATGTAAAGAAGGTAGGTCACATAAAACAGTCGAATTTCGAAGTATCTCCGGTAACAAATTCCTATGAAATCTACTTTTAGTACGTAGCTTGAGTTGTCGATGTGTTTGTAAACGCCGCGTGTGTCCCCGCCCTTAGCGGTACAATTTGTAGTGAATCACATAATGCATGAATGCTTGATTGATTGGTTTTGGTATTGACGAGCAATTGATGGCGCTCCGGAAACGCGGGGAATACGTCACTACCGCTGACGCTGACGGACTGTTGTACAATTATTTCAATACAAAATTATTGAGATAAATCTTTATTGAAAGTTAAACATTAGAATACATTTACATAACAGAACAGTTAAATAATTTTTAACAGTTAAATTAATTGATGTTGTATATAATCTATAAAATGATGGAGAAATAATATATTAAATATTGATTTAGTTGACGACAACCAAAGATGTGTTAAAATTCAGTTAACAACGTATAAGGTATATAAGCGTATGTAGTTTTATTTAGCAATAAGACAATAATTAGAATGGGACTAACAACGTCACCTATGTTAAGAGACGCTATGAATATGTGAGTATCTTAACGCGTTTAATTTGAAACTAATTTGTCTGTAACGTAAATAATTTTTAACATTAGAAGACGCGGAAAAAATTTAGTTCTCGTAATATAATAAGTAACATCGCAAAGAACAGATTAATAACAAATGCACTAATGGATTTTGTAACATATTTTTTAAATAAAAGCCATGAGTAAGAAAATGTCGCCATTTCGACAGATAAGATCTTCGACCATCGAATAATTGTTTTCATCGAGCGGACGTTCTTGTAAAATCTGTTAATTGTTTAATCTTTACAGCCATTACAAAGTGTCGGAAGTGGAAGTGTTAGACAATATAAAATACATCACTCGCGCCCTTCACATCTATTGCAATAATAATTCGTGTGACTTGTAAATGATGATTAATTGGAAAGGAAATCATTGCTCGACAATTAGCAGTATTTATTCTTATTGTTTATTTAATTAGTCTCTTTGCGTTTGCCGCAAACTCTGTGAATAAATTAGATCACTTCTACAATTTCAAACTATAAAGCAAAGTTCTCTGCTTAACTTAGTTTCAGATGTTCAAATTAATAAAATAGCGATTAATTCTAAACTGCTTGAGTTTTACGAAGCACGTTTTGTTGTAAATCATGAACTGAAGTGTTTTAATCTTCATATAAAATAATCGCAGTGGTTTTACTATTAACAATAAAATGCTAAGATTCAAGGATTTTGTTAAGGATCAAGATAAAATGAATCTTTTTGAAATGACAAATAAAACAACATAGCTATAAGAGCTTTAGTTTTAGTTATTTTAATTTACTTCTTAGTTGTTAAAACATATATCTATGATTTTTAAACAAAAGTTTAGGCAATGTAAATGTAGTAAAAAAGTATCCTAATTTATAAATTCCAACTTTAGGTTTTAACTCCAAAACCGGGTATATTTTGTAGAGCTAATGACGATCTCTGGTTCTTTTATCTTTACGGTTAAAGTTTAGTTGTAAAATTGGAATGAGGGTATTATTAAAATTTCAGTAATGTCGACTATTACGCTTTTACATAAAAAGGGCATCCTAACAAGAGACCCATCGTGGTTCTATTTAGTTGGGTCTCTCTTGAAATTCTAATGCCTATTTACTCGAGCGTGAAATAGCCTCACTTGGTCAAACTCAACATCTGACTTCTATTAAAATTTAATAATTCGTATAATTAGGTTACATTATTATTTCAATTAAATGTAAACATAACAATAACAGTGAAGTTAGAACTTCAAGTTGTCAGAGATACAAATGTAACATACATTTTATAAAGTTCGCAGGATAATGTTAGGATTTTGCGAAGCATAATGTGTTTTCAGGTAATTCTAGTAATTTAAGAACGCCGTATGTGCGAAGTGATACATAAAAGTCATAAAATGTCACATCTTGCTTACGATTTAAATTCCTTTATCAAATTAAAAGAGCAATAAACATTCACTCAAAGTTGTCTTTTCATTTTATGGTGACTTTTATTACAACAAATTACTTCATTGTAAAGTCTAGTGGCTTTATTTTGCCTTTTTATTTACCATTGAAATAATTGAATTGTTAAGTTAATTGACCAAAATTTACGATCAGATTCGGTGAAGTTGAAACCTTAAATGAACACTAGATATATATGTTAATGACGCATTACAATTGCCGATAGTTTTAATCGCTTTTTCACTGTTTTATGATTCAAAAAATGAAAATAATTTCAATATGGAATGAAAATAACAATTTGCACAATTCGGTTGCTTACGTCACTGCACAGGAAGTGATGTATACGTTGTATTGTAGATACATTTAATGATAATCCATTGTAGCTGCCTCTTATCATACTGTGATTTCAATTTTACCTTTACAATGATGATTTAAATGTAATTTTAAATCACTTAGACCAAACATGAAGTTAAACTTCGGCATAGAAACACGATAGTCTAGGGGACAGCAGTCATTAATATAGTTTTGATTTTAACTAGTTTTCATATCTTTTTTACTATTTACGACTCACTTAGAAGAGGGAGGGAGCTCTTACCCTCTCCTGACAGCTAGGCATATATGATTTTTGAGTCTGAATAATTCAAATACATACATTTTCCTGACAAATTAATTAGTAACATTAGTAACTTCGCTATAATTTGAGACCTTATTTCTTTTTCCTTTGTATTAATTATGGCTTCTTTTGTTTTATATTACATCGCCAGCCAACAATAAATCACCTTCACATACATGTGCATAATAAATAGAAATTTCTAGTCAGCTGATCAAACAAGTACACACATTACTTTTAGCTACTTCTTTTAGCATTTTTATTTATGGATTTTAGTAATAATTAATAAGTAATTATTAAATAATCAGTTTTTTAACCGTAAGCTTAAGTGTGTCGGGAAATCTTCATTAAAAAAAAACAATAATAAAAAAATAACAATATCGTACTACTGATTATAATTATAATTGGTTCAATCTTTATTAATTGCATTATTATTGTGAGAAATTATGACTAAGTGATTAAAATGATACCTTTTCATAAAATTATACAAGAAATTTTCCTTCACAGGATTTTCCCTTTATATAAATTCACACTTATGTCACCAAAGTTATAAAGTACGTCATTTATTTCTTTCGCATTTTAACTTGGGAAAACTTTAGTTAAGTTAAAGTGTTGCTAAGCAGTGCGAACTGCACACAACTAGTTCAGAGTGGGTAAACTTAGATTGCTCTTACTAACACTTTTTAAATACGTGACTTTTAAACGCAGAATAAAGACTGGAATATAAGAAAGAATATAAAACTTAATAAGGTAAAAGTGATGTATTTTGTTATGCTTACGCTGAACATTGTATCTGATTTTTAGAATAAAACATGCACGAATTTACTTTCTAAAATATTAGTCCGCATTTATAACAAAAGTTTTATCCTCCCAGATATACGGCGACGAGCAAATAAATGAACGTATTTATCAAGCTTAAGACAATCCAAAACTACCTTAAATGCCTAATTTATTAGAGTTCTAATTCATTTCATTAAACTTTCTTCACATTTAATGCAGATAAATGGTATAGTAAATCATGCGCGTTATCCGTTATCAATGCGGTAAAATTAAAGCTATCCATAATCAGCCAAAATACGATAACAATAATTTCCTATATTATCATTTAAACGTATACAGTTTGGCCGCATGTCGCCGGGGTTTTGTGTTAAATCGTATGTGAATTACGCACCGAATATTCGAGTTTGTCTGATACTGAAGTTAAATATCAACATATAGATTTGGACTGTTTGAGTGAAAGGTCAAGAACATCCAGAAAAATGTTCATGTGGATTTTAATAGCGATTCTTGTCGTGCTGGCTTTAGTATGGTCTATGGACATGGGTAAGAATAACAAAGTCTTTGCATCTGAATAGATGAACTGTTAAATATAAGATAATCAAATGTAGCCAGACGAATAACCTCACCGATAGCCTACGAACTCAGTTAACAAGCGATGACTAAATAATGATTGTTTTACACGAAATTTCAACAGAAATTGTAGCAGAAAAAATGCTCGAATCGTAAGCTGTATTGATGAGAGTAGCGCAGTTAGTAATTATTCCTAATGCTATAATTGGATCCTCGGCGTTCGCCGCTCTGAATGCCAACTCTGTTCTTGAACTATTATTGTTTTATTATTTCATTATTAGATTTTTCACAAAATTGAAGCATTGTTATTAAGTTACTGTCTTTATTGTAGACTTTACAATATACAATTGTGTGTTATTTGATTGCGGTGAACAGAGTTAATGAGATAACATAATAATTATTAGATTATATTTTAATATATTCTCAGTCACGATCTATAAAGTGTCCACAGTTTATTTTCTAGTTCCTTAAGACGGGGATTTCCTTCAAGTCTATTATAGGAAATGTCTAAAATATATAACCTTGATTATTGTCCTAACAACGAAAACTACAATGGTAGATCAAGCCTTTATTGTACACAATGGTACTGATGACAACGATGCACTAGTGCGTGACGCGGCCGGAGACACGTTTTGTGTTTTCGAACGCGCGTTTAAGCCTCTTGTAAATCGAACTGAGGATTTATCACGAATATTTGTGTTTTTTTTTGTAACGTCACGACAAAATTTACATTACATTTGTGTACCGGATGTTAAGTACACCAACAAATATCATACAAATTTTACAACTGTCACGACCCATATTAGTGATAGACCCTCTGAACTTTTCTTTCTGTTATTTTTATCGGTGTTTTAACCGTCGGTGTAAAAGCGCGTTTTACCGCATCGTGTGTACGAGCTGTATGGAGCATCCATTCGTCTTGGTTTCGGGTTCGTGCGTCAACAGTCAGTGATAGGTCGTGGGCAGGCAGGACACGTTTTTATTGCACTATTATCTGTTTATATTCGATGTAAAGGACATTGGTATTGCTTTTATTCATCGTTAGTTTATTTGGTATCAATAAATTAAAACATGCCTGTCATACAGGAGAGTGAGCACACACAAGATGTATGTGGGGATTCCCTTTGTTAGTATTACTAGTATTATTTTCGCCATAGAGTTTCAATTGTTTTATCATGCATTTAATTGATTAGCTAATTATGTTTGTATTAGTATGTACACTTATCAACATACCAGTTATTATAAGTAAGAGTGTATCAAGGACGTATCGTAGATAAAAAAACTACTTTGTATAAGTCCAGTATGAGCTCTGCCCTTAGATCTTCTTTAGATCATCTAATAGCTCAATGGTGTTTGTTTTATATATCTACGAGTTTACACTGTTTAAACACCTGTATAAAAACATCGACGATATATTTAATTTTCAAAGATCATGAACGGAGTTCTCTTCTTGCGTTTTTCCTATGGAGGGTTTTCACAGTACACGCACGCAAGCTGAAACTAAAACCCCATAAAACAATGCATGTTTGATACATAAATTACAATGGACAATTACAAAGTGGCTTGCATTCATACGTACGAAATAATCTGCATTGATGTTTGCGATAAGCGACAAGTGTTCGCAATGAACACGATAGCCGCTACTCCGTGAGATTTGTAATCGCTGATAATTACACGAGCCCACTTCTCTCGATTGTTTGTACGATACAAAATAAAACTGTTCACTTACAACACGAAACTCTTGACACACATAAACGTCATTGAAACGTCATAACAAAAGCTAATCGTCTTTAACATGCAAATAGAAATTGTGAAATTGCAGGCACAACTTTTAACGTTTTAAACTAACCTCAAAATAGATTTAAAACAACTGTTACACTGTTCCATTTAAATCGATGGGCTTTAGTAAGATTAGAAATTGACTACCTATCCTTTTCATAAACCTTAAATCTTGAACCTACGTTAAATGAATGCTATAAAAATAAGTAAAATAAAATGTTTTCATGCAATTTCAATATTTCAAATTAACGACAATCTGAAAATAGCAACCTCAGAATTTAAAAGTGCTCTCGTTTACTCGTTGATGGTTTTTATTTTAAAGCTAATTTAAATGTTTCACGTTGAAAATACCAAACGGAAATTTTAATTGAGCAGTTAATTTGTAATTTTTGCAACATTTCAAGAGGTCACATTTTCCCTTTGAAAAGCGGCTGCGGAATTCTATTAATTTTTGGCTTTGAATTGTTAAAGCAATTTAATAGTCTCGTCAGAATTTAATAATGTAATGAGTTAGTTAAAATTATCCATAAACGAGTTTTAAGGTGTTTCTTTACTATTTATTTAAAATCTTTTCATAAATAAAACGTTTCATTAATCAAACATCATAGAGGCATAGAGTAATTATCGTAAATTACTTAACGTGTCAAAGAATAACAGCGATTCACAAAAAGTGTTAACAATGCAATAATTGTGATCAAATCATTAGCAAATTCTATGTGGTGGTCCATTACTAGTCGAGAGATACGAGAGAAGTCATCAACTCTCTAATAGACTTGTCACAAAAAAAAAAAACTAAACATTTACTAAAAGTAAAATAAAGCAAATAAATTTAAATTCTGTTATATTATAATTAGTGTAAAAAGCATTTCAAAATAGTTAATGGTGTCCTTAATTTGTAATGTTCATAGTTACTCTTGTTTCGTAAAAATAATGCAAATATTTTTACTTGTGACGCTTTACGACATAACCTTAAACAAAAACATTTACAAGAAATGTGTCAAGTATTGCAAAGTACAGACAAAACATTTGCCACTGAACACTTCTTATGTATTGTGTTCTTACAACACCTGCTTTTTGTTAACTTAAGTGCCTTAAGATGAAAAACTATGTTATTTAGGTTATATTAAGATAGCGTAATATATTTTTGAAACAGCTATCTATCAGAAATATAAAAAGTTTAAGTAGAATTGTCAATAAAAATAGCAACAGATGGCGCTGTTGTTAATATGTACGATACCAGTCTAAAATGTTTGTGTTTGTTTGCAGAGAGCTCTTTCGGGATGCGGCATCTGATCGTGTTTCTTCTGTTCGTGGCCACCACAGTGTCATACGCTACTCGTGTCAGCATGAGCGTTGCTATCGTTGCCATGACAACAGACAACGACTACGGACACCCTGTAAGTATCTAAAAAAAATAGAGAGAAAATCTAGCTGGTAATTGTACTTTTACTTAGCTTTCCACTACCTTATTAGAGTATTTTTCTTTTCCTTTAACTTTTTACTGTATCCGATAAATTAATTTAATCTTGCAACTATAATCTTATCGTTAATTTATACGCACTCTTCTCCTAAATAATTATGGTATTAAAATTGATATCAAATATTTCAATACAATGGATAAAATACTTGACGTCACTATTTCACCGGCGGAGCGATGTCAGAGCGCGATACAGTGCGACGTGACGCACATACGGAGCACACATTATCCCGCAGAGTAGACGCGGCGGCTGAATAGGCTTTGTTCTATCGACCGGCCCATTCAAACCGCGCAGGATTTAGAGGTCGACTCTACCTTATCGATATCGCTATTACAACTTTCTCGATAACTCTCACGCTTAACGCCAGGGCTGTAGTATTCTGTATTAATATTATAAAAAGGAAAGATTTGTATTTTTGGATTTTTTTATGTATTGAAATAATCTATAAATAATTGGGACCTTTTCAAAAATACTTTCATCATTACAATGCTACGTAATCACTGAGTAACATAAGCTAAATAGCTTATTTATTACTTTTAGTTATATAATTTCACGTGAACGAAGTCGCTAGCAACAGCTAGTCGTTTGTATAAATTAGGTAGATTAAAAGTATTTGATTTTGTTAAATGGTTTTTCAGAAATCATCTCAAACATTGAGGTATTTAGTGCTTATAATGGAATTGCGGTGACAATTTTATATTTCTCTTATGTATATTACGAATTTTATTGCAGAAATCTGACATGACTTTATAAAGTCAGTATTTCGAACTGCTTTTACATTTATCCATACAGGAAAACCAATAACTAAAGAATTTAGATAGCAATTTGTAGGCAGGGATTTCTTTCCACAATAGTAATATTGTCAACATCCTCCATATTTAACCCTCTTCACGGCGAGGACGTGGAGCACGAGGTGTGACGCCGATATAGAAAATTATGCTAAAAGAACTTTTTGCGGGCAGATCGTATCGGAAATCTTTGATAGATAAATCTGGTACACAATTTAAACTTGATTGAAAGAACAAATTTGTTAATGCTGATAAAAATAAGATTAATATATATTAATATTTGTTGCAGGTATTTAAATGGGAGAGAAGCGTTCAAGACACAATCTTGTCGTCGTTCTTCTGGGGTTACATCCTGCTGCAAATTCCCGCAGGGCTGCTCACCAGCCGCTTCGGGGGGAAAGTTTTCATCACCGTCGCTATGCTCGTCACCGGCCTCGTCAACTTGGTCACGCCTTTCGCTGCTACTAAAGTAATTTATTCTAATTACTAAATAACTAGTACTAATTGATTTAATTTTGCTGGTACTACGTTGAGTTAGTCCATGATACTAAAACGTGTTGGTTACATTGATATTATCTGAAAATCAACACGACCGTGGTTAATTTTATCATATCGTTGACGAAATTAAATTGACCGATAAAAAATAACACTAAAATTAGTTTATTAACTTCATGTAGAGACTAATGCATGTCATCAAAATTCTTCCAATTATATCAAAGACAAGAATAGCAAAACTTTGTACTTTAATATCTAGTAGTAAGAGGCGATATAAAGCTATTCCAGCATTACTTTGATGTTTAATATTTTACAATATATTATTCACATCTGTGTAAATTTACATAACAAAACTATTAGTCGCATGTTTTTGCATATTATTTAAACTATAGGACGCTTGGAGTTATAGCAGAGCATTGAGCAGCTTCTGTAGACAGATGGCACCACAACAAACTATAACGAAGCTTGTCGTGACGTCACACAGATGGAGACATGCTGACATCATTATTAAATATTTAAGATTAAATTAATGGAATTTTACAAGCACTAGACATCAAAGAATTTAACAAAGACTCTTAGAAAATTTTAGGAATAATTTAAACGATCCATTTATTTAATTTCAAAGCATTTATAGTCAAATATTTGAACAGTCGCTGAAATATTTTCATGAGAACATTAAATACCAAAAAATAATACTTTCTGGTTGGTAGTCATCAAACCGAGAGTCAGAGATGTATAACTATCAGGTTCTGGTTAAGTTTAAATTAGTGATAAGTAGACCGCTGGTTCGTAATAGAAACTGTACTGTATTTTAGGGTGATTGGATGGCGGTGTGCGCATGCCGCATCCTGATGGGTCTGTCTCAGGGGCTACTGTACCCCAGCCTGCACGGCCTGCTGGGACAATGGGCCCCCGCCGCTGAGCGCAGTCGGATGGGTACATTCGTCTATGCTGGTAAGTGGAACTTCTTTCTCTTTTTACACTCACAGTAGAATAGTTGTTCTCAGTCTGGTGGACTTAATTTTTAAACAAACCATTGTTTGTTAACCAGGTGCTCAACTGGGTACAATAATAGAGATGATGTTGGCGGGCGTGCTGTCGGCGGGCCCATGGGGCTGGCCCGCTGTTTTCTACGTGGCGGGCGCGTCTTGCCT